GACCCCACCCCCCAGGCAGCAGGGCTCTGTTCCTTTCGGCACATACACATTTTATTATTAATTTTATTATTATTTTTTAACATGAAAAGATCAGACGCGGGGGAAAAAAAAATACGTGAGGAAGGGGGTGTAAAAACGCCGATTGCCGGGATGAGGAGGTTGGGGCAGCCCCCCCTCCCCAGTCCCCCAGTGCACACTGTGCCAGCGAAGGACAGGGGCACAAAACGCAGCCCCCTTCCCTGGGCAGGAGGAGACAGAAAGGGGCAGCACGAAGTCAAGCCTGCAAATAACACCCACCCCCCCAACTCCCATATTGACAGCAACCAGCACCTCACCCCCATCCAAAGGGACATCCCCTGTCGGGACGGAGCTTTCAAAGCTAAACACACATCAAATCAGTCCTTTCCCTGCTGGAAAACAAACAAAGGAGTAATACCTAGTGGGAGGAGTTGTTCCTGGTGAAAGAAAAATGCATTCGTGCTCTCAAGGTCTGGTGGAGGACAGCGCAGGCACAGCACGGTGTTTGAGCTGGCATCTTCAGTGCCATTGCTCCCCAACAAAAAAAATCCCTTTTCCCTTCCCTTCCCTGCTTTAAGGCCACGGTGAAAATTCAGTGCCCACTGATCCCTTCTCTCCATGCCCCAGGGCTGTGGGTGCTGGCAAAAGGGCACAGGAGCCCTGAGGGCCATCTCATGGAAGTGGAGGGGGTACCTGCCACAGATGGGGTATCATCTGCCATATCTGCCACAGGGGAACAAGGAGAAAGACATTTCCCCTCCTCTCCAACCTCCCCCTGCTCCCATGTTTTCCTTTGTGCCACATTACCCCGACTCTCCAGAAGCCGAGCAGTTAAGAGGTCAAAATGCAGCATTGTGGAAGTGTAATAAACCAAAAGTACAGTTTCTGCTCTTAAAATTAACAACTGGAACTACCATGCAAGTTACAACCCCCGCCCCCCCCAAACCAGCAGTTAATCAAATTCTTCACAGCGAAGGAACAACAGAATAAAGAGTGTAAAATCACAAACCTGCTTCCCCTTGCCTTCCTGCTATGGACAGGGTGAGGGGAGGAAGAGACGCAAACTCTCTGTGTGTCCTGGATAGAGAAATATATTTATATATTTGCTTCAGAGAATGTCTCCCCTATCTCCCCACACCCTAAAACAAGACAGGGAAAACAAATAGTTATAAACATAGGCCAGCTGAAGCTTAAAAAAAAACCAAAGCCAAACCAGACCTCTTCTCATCTGGAGTCGGCATCACAGAGCTAACATGGTACTCCCAAAAAGTGCATCTTTAGGAAAAAAAAACCCAAAAAAACCCCCCAAAAAAACCCAAAATAACAAAAGATGAAGGTTGGGGTGACGATGGCAGAGGAGGCGATGGGGAGGCAGCCCCGGGAAGGGGGCTAGTTTCCCCGGAAAGCACTCTGTGCAGCTGAGGAGGCCGCCCCAGCCGCTGCGTTCTGGAAGCCCCTGTTGGTGAGGATGCCTTGGGAAAACTCTTCCTGGGCCCTTTGGAAACTGGCTCCTGTGCGCCGATACAGGGAATGCACCTGGGAAACAGAAAGAGAGGGGGGAAAAAAGAAAAGTCAGCCTGCAGGTACGGGTTGCTGCTTGCTTTTCCTTGGCCCTGTTGCTAACTGTCTCTCTTGGTGGCTGGAGAGGATGGGAAGGAGCCACTGGCTTCATCTCACCCAGCACGTGATGCTGTAGATTTCAGGAGACCCTCATTTGCAGTAAAATGTGGAGCTCTCAGCAAAATGGCATGTATCCTCACCCCTGCATTTACAGACGCTGGCAGGGCAGGGCCCCCCCCAGCCACAAGCATCAGGTATGTCCTCCAAAATACAATTTAGGAGAAAAGGAGGAGGATGCAATAGGAACAGGACCAGTTCAGTCTCTCCTTGCCTTCCCCAAAGCTACACTTCTGCTGTAAACTGCAGAAATGCAACCCTTGTGCAGTGGATCAGGAGGAGGAAGCGGGGTTTGCGTTTGGGAGCCAGCGGGAAGGCACTCGTTTGGATCCCACCAGGCTCTGAAGAGTCCCACAACATCACAGCAGCAGTGACCATAAAGCCCTGGATACCCCAGCAAAGCAATGGCCTTCTCTGCTCAGCCAACTCTGGACGGACTCAAGCTAAAGGGAGGTGCAAGAAATTTGATGTCCACTTTTGGGTGACATTTGGGACCTTGTTGGCCATCTTCTTCTCTGGATGGCAGCCAACACAGCAAGCCTTCCTACACCCTCCTTTATCCTAAGGTGTGTTTGAGGCCCTTCATGTGCATGGTTAATGGTGTGCCTCGCTGAAGCATCCACACCCAAAGGCTGCTTTCCCGCCTGCAAGTCCCCTTAGTGTTCAAGGGCCTTGGTATCAATGCAGGAAGCGCAAGCAAAGATACTTTGATTAAAAGCTCTTGACCTGACGGTGCCCCAATTAAGCCTTCAAAAGCAAGCTAAATCGCCAGACAGATGAGAGAAGGTGTCAACCCCAGGATACCCTGGGAGCAGCCCGACCGGCGGATCTGCGATTCAGCCCGGACCTTGCCTTCCCCCTGAGCCGCACTCACCTGCTTCAGGAGGAAGAGCGAGAGAACAGCGCACAGCGTGAAGAATCCTGCCACCACCATCATGATAATAGCCACAGCCAGGTTCCCGTGCAGCTCAGACAGCGCTGCGATCCACCCGCTGCAAGAGGAAGGAGAGTGGGGTGAGTCTGGGGAGCATCCGACGTGCAGGACGAGAGGGAACAGAGGGAGAAGAGGCACCAATGGTCGCACAAGAGCCTTTGGGGGAAGGTGACGGGGAAGCGCAAACCCAGACCTAACGGCTGTGGGATCAGGGACCCAGAGCTCATCCAGGCACTTGTTTGGGGGCCAGAATTTCTGTTATTGTTTTTTAAAAGCAATCCACCTCTACACAAGAGAATCGTGATCACTCCCCACCACGTTACAGCCCCAGCCCACCCCCCCCTTAGGCAGCAATCAATACCCTTGGCACTGTCATAAATCAAGTCACTTCCGTGAATGCCTTCTCAAAATTCAGCCAAGTAGCGTAAAGATAGGCTGGTACATCTAAATTGGAAGAGATCAGCTGGCAGATCTGGAGCCTGGACCTACATCTTGCCGTGACGGCTCTGCAGGGCAGGGACGGAAGTGCTGGGAGGGAAGGGATGAAGTAAAGAGCTACAGAAAGGAAGGAACTGGCAGTTGTTGAAGGGAAGGGGCAGGGGGGATTGGTGGGAGTTATCAGTGCTTGGCTGTGGGAGAAAACACCAAGATGCCTCACTCCAAATACCCTTCTGGGTTCCAGAGAAAGGAATCTTTCCAACTGCTAAACCAAGCAAGCCATGTGCCAGCAGGAGAGGGGGAACCAAGCGAGCCAAACCCTCCCAATTTGACGTGCCACACCAACTTCTTGCTTGTGACGAGGAAGCGAAAAGGCACGCCATGCACAACAGCCAAAAATAAATGTGCTGCCTGGCTCGAGGAAACACAGCATAAAGCTCAACGCACGCTCTCCCAAAGTCAGGCTAAAAAGGGACTGCCCCCTCCCAGTCCCCCATGACGAAGGCAGGGGAGAGAGCACGAGGACAGCTTTGCCCGTGAGCCCTTCTGCAGGCAGCGGGGCAAAAATAGACAGCAGTTTCACCACATTCACCACCTGAAGGCTCCCCCTCAGGATAAAAACCACTAGCTGTTAACCTTTTCACTGTTCACAGTAACTCAGGAATCTGATCATCAGCCAACACAGCAAGGCAAAAAGAAAGCCAGTGCTCTTTCACTGCAGGGGCAACTGCTGGCAAGAGGCTTGTTGGACCCACTTCAGAAGCCCAGACTTCCCTCTGTACAATGCCATCAAGAAAAGGGTGAGAATAAAATCCTCCCTGCTTTTTTTTTTTTTTTTTTTTTTTTTTTTAAGCACAACCCACCAAAAACACACTCGAGAGAAATTCAAGAAGAGTTTGCAGACAGACTCGGGCTGCTAACAGCAGTATTGGGTTAAGCCATACCCAGACTCCGGGTCAGAGAAATCCCTCAGCCCCACGCTGCAGCCTCCATCAGGGAAGGCTCCGTTTTAACACAAGGCAGATGTGGTCAACACTAAAGGCTCAGCATCAAGAGGGGATAAAGTATTGTGTGCATTAAGCAAGGGGGAAGGCAGCAGAGGAGGCATGTGGGATTGTACAGCTCCTTTCTGTCTAGGACAGAAGAGCAGAGGAGAGAGGCAGCCCAGCTGGGACCTGCCAAAAGCCGCGTATCAGGCGAGAGAGGAAAACCATAGGGGAAGGAACAGACAGCTGTCAGAATCGGAGCCCGGAGCTTCCGACAGTCACAGCCCTGGTGAGAAAAAGCATCCATGCAGGGCTGTGACACAGCAGCACAGGAAGAACCTAGCCAGGAATCCCACCAGCCTGGATGATGTAGATTGCTATTTGGCAGAAGAAGATGAAAAAGAAGACGAAGAAGCTGAAGGAGCTGTCAGACCTGCAGAAGAGAAGGCAACAGGAGTGAAACCCAGGGACACAGTCCCTGCGCAGATGCCCTTGTTTAAGTGGAGGGAAACAATTTTGGCAAACTCCTTTCTCCAGGGGAAAGCTGCTAAGGGGAGGTGATTTCAGGAGGAACTTATGCAGCGGCACAACTTAGAATCATAGAAAGTTTTGGGTTGGAATGGACCCCTAGAGGTCATCTAGTGCAACCCCCCTGCAGGAGCAGGGACACCGCTAACTAGATCAGGTTGCTCAGAGCCCTGTCCAACCTGGCCTTGAATGTTTCCAGGGATGGGGCCTCCACTACCTCTCTGGGCAACCTGTTCCAGTGTTTCACCACCCTCATTGTAAAGAATTTCTTCCTTATATCTAGTCTAAACCTACCTGGTTTAGTTTAAAACCATTACCCCTTGTCCTGTCACAGCTGGCCCTACTAAAAAGATTTTCCCCATCTTTCCTATAGGCCCCCTTTAGGTATTGAAAGGCCTTAATCAGGTCTCCCCGCAGCCTTCTCTTCTCCAGGCTGAACAAGCCCAACTCCCTCAGCCTGTCCTCATAGGAGAGGTGCTCCAACCCTCGGATCATTTTTGTGGCCCTCCTCTGGACCCGCTCCAACAGTTCCGTGTCCTTCTTGTGCCGAGGGCTCCAGAGCTGGACGCAGTACTCCAGGTGAGGCCTCACCAGAGCAGAGTAGAGGGGCAGAATCCCCTCCCTCGACCTGCTGGCCATGCTTCTCCCGATGCAGCCCAGAGTACGGTTGGCCTTCTGGGCTGCCAGCACACATTGCTGGCTCATGTCCAGCTTTTCATCCACCAGCACCCCCAAGTCCCTCTCGGCAGGGC